TTAAAACCGTCGAAACTTTTAAAACTTTTAAAACTTTTAAAACTTTCAAAACTTTTAAAACTTTCAAAACTTTCAAAACTTTCAAAACTTTTAAAACTTTTAAAACTTTCAAAACTTTTAAAACTTTCAAAACCTTTAAAACTTTAAAACTTTTAAAACTTTTAAAACCTTTAAAACTTTTGAAACTTTTAAAACTTTCAAAACTTTTAAAACTTTTAAAACTTTTAAAACTTTCAAAACTTTTAAAACCTTTAAAAGACGAAACGACACGAGGCCACGGGTCAAATAATACATAAAGGGTTCTCTTACATATATATATATATATATGTATATATATATATATATATATTTTTTTTTGTCGACGCGGTTTTTTTCACTGGATTTAATTTTTTGATGCATATTGATATTTTTTGATGCTCCACCCTATGTCCCCAGCTTTCACTGCTTCTAGATTCTAGATCTTATTCTGCTTGTGGGTTTTGCCTGTGCGGCTCCTGTAGCAAGCGTCCCATTGGTCTATGGGCTTTCTGGAGACGTCGACGCGAAAGCCATGTTTGCATGGATGTGTAAGTATTCCGCCTGTAGTTTGAAAGCACTTGGTTTTGCAGAGGCATGGCAAAAGCGGGTTGGTTTTTTGCATGTAGGTTCGCGGTGTGAATTGGCTGCGGAAGTTCCCACCAAGGTGGCAATTGGGGGTTTCCCACGGGGCCGCTCGAAAGACAAAATTGGCATCAGGTTTCGCAGCTTCCACGGGGTCTTCAGACATTGTGACATCGAGACCGCATATAAGGGGCGCGCTCGCACGGCTTTCGCGGATTTTCAACATGTTGCGTCTGCCGCGAAGACATGGGTTTGTGGAGGCAGGCCCAAAGAAGTTTGAAACGCAGGCTGATATATCCCTTTATCGGCTTCGGATTTTGCCTGAAGGCTGCAGTCGGAGGTTCTCCAAGGGGCCATGTAATGAATACAATGGCCCCAAGGAGCTCGAAGGAAACAACCTGCATCTTCTTTTCAAGAATGCCAAAACTCCAAAACCAGGTTTCGTAGGTTTCGTGCACGTTCGACCTCAAGCCTTTATTTCGCGGCGAGGGCGCGTTGCTCCTGCGGATGTTCAGGCTTTGGGGTTTGCAGCCCCCTTCTCCTCCTCCCCTCTCCCACCAGGAAAGGGGACATAAGGAAAAGCCAGGTTGACGGAAGAAGCCAGGTTCGCACAGGGGCAGCTGGGGTGGACCAAGTAGGAGGGTGGCGAGCATACGGAAGTGTTCGCATAAAGAAAAGCCAGGCTCACACAAGGTGAGAAACAGTCAACATAAGGAAAAACCGATCGCAGAAGTGAGCAGCCCACAGTATGAGAAACAAAACCAGGCCCCGTCACTGTGATTGAGGCCGGAGACAACGGATGATCGGAATCCCAAAACGCCATCCGAACCCAACCCAAAAGGAGCTCTCCGTACGCCTCTTCGAAGCCACCAAGGAAGGATCGCACCTCTGAGCTTCGGGCAACGCCGTACGCAGTGCCGGCATCACAGCAAACGCCTGACACCCACGTCATCCGTGGCTCCTGGGAAACAGTCAGCGATTTATGGGTCGCTGACGCAAAGCTTGATACTGAGCTGGAGGGCAGCATGGGACGAGAGCTTCCTTTGTCACATCTTATCGTCATGCTTACTTTTGACTAGGCCGGAGAATGGCAGCGGAAAAGCAGGGTTTCTTGAGGAGTCTCAGATTCCATCATTGGAGCGGGGAGATGACAATTGATCCTTACATGACAGAATGATGACCTTGTTTTCACGTGGCAGGCGTTTGCGTCGAAACATACTAAAAGCTTTTTGCCAGTTGAGTTTCGAAGCCCTCGCTGCACTACGGTGCGGAGGATTCTGCGTACTCATCGGAGGGCCTGGCGGACTTGTCAGGATGTGCAACAACTACCGCACAGCATCCCTCGAAGGGTGTCGGGCCGAATGTTCTATCTGCCGCGCAAGGCGTCGACTAGACTCTGTATTTGGACAGGAAGGCTGATGATTGTGAGGATTGTGTTGCGGATGTTGCTGATGAGTTTGATAATGGTGGCGATCTTGAGGGTGCATCTCATCTTGCCGGAGCCATCGTATTGATGTTGTTGATCTGGTCGCCCAGGTTTCGCATTAATGCTGGCCTTCATGTTGGATGTGATTTTCTTGTTATTGCATGTTGCCGTTGAAGACAGCGTTGGGTTCCATGCTGTAGAACATGTCGCTCCAGCTGTGTTGAACATGTTGCCTGCTTTGTTGTGTTGGCAGGCACTTCGGCTTCAGACCAGTGTATGCTCCTGAGAATTTTGAGAGCTTGTTGCAGCCAGCCGGAGCTCACCGAATTGGGGCTACGTTGTTGCATTTCACAAAATCGTAAGGTCCTTCCGAGACAGCAGAGGTCCTTTACCACCGAAGTTGATCTCGCCCACACTAGCATGCTTGTTGACATGGCTCGGCCAACCGGCACAGGTCGACCACAGACCCGCATCAACCAATGAGCCTCTCCACGTGCTCTGCCTGCACTGCTTTCACGGCCTTTGCTGCGTTACCTTTTGACTTATACTGCTGCCTCCGCATTCTACAGCGTCGGCTCAAAGCAGCCACGCGCAGTCTGCGTGCAAGTTACGTGCTGTTCTCAGATAGCCGTGCCGAATGTGCGCAACGAACCGCGGTGCTCACGTGAAAGGCATGTTCAATGGTCCCATCGATTTGGACGAGCTTAGTTTGCCTGCTTAGCTTTAGCTACGCGGAACCAGATGTTCGGCACCAAGTTTTGAACGTCATTGGCGATTACATTTCAGACATGTACCCCGCAAGAGAAGGGCCCCGTGGTCAGGTCCTTTCTTCGCAGCAGCTGCGAATAGGTCCAGGAACGAAAAGTTCCCTGCGCAAAGATGGAGGCCAGTGGCTGATTGAAGGTTGTGCAGCTGCGTGGTACTGGCACGACGCTGAAGGTCTTCAACAGCCGTTCTACAGATCTGCAAATGGATGGACAAAGCTTACTTACGACGAGGATCCACTGGAGTTAGCATTCAAGGCAAGGCTGGACTAACTCGACTGAGACTTGCCTAGCCAGAGCGGTGGCTCTTTCGCATTCACCAGTGAGCTTCCGAAGCCCACCCGGAAGCATGTCCAGGTTGATGGTCGCACGGCTCGAATAGGCTCGACCGGGCCACCTGCAAAGTCATGCTTGGCTGTTGCATGTGTGCTGCGATGGAAATGCACCTGCGACTTAAGAGATCAGTCCCGGTCGAGGTGGTGCTTCGCGAACATTTTACAATTCCACTTATGCCGAAGTATCTTCCAACCTCATGGTTGATGACGTTCCTCGTGCTGCTTGACTGCTCAATGTAGATTTTGAGTCGTCAATGTGAAGGACACCGCCAGTCCGCCTAACAGGCGAGTGGTAGGTGGTAGGGTCAGTTTTGAGGGAAATACATGGAGGGCTGGGAGGGTTTATGCCGTGCAGGTTTCACTGAAGCGTGGCTTGGCTGATATCAGTCTTACACACCTGCGCATGCCGACATTTTGCTTCGATCAAAGGAATTTTCAGCTTCCCTGCCGAGTCGGTCTTCAGATCTGAATTCCGCTTGACAGCTTTGAGCTCCCTGTCCGGTGTGCAGGCAAGTATTCGGAGTCTAAGCCTTGGATCTCCAAGCCTCCGAGTGCAGCTGCTGTGTACGGCTTTTGCTGCCGTGATTGCGTCTGATACTGCTGTCATCCTCGTTGGCAGTTGTGGATGGGCACGTCAGATGACTGGATCGGCACGACCGACGAACCGACAAAAGAGCAAGGCAGCGAGTGGTTCCATGTGGTTCCTGCGGAGCCACGTAGATCCGCGTAGCATCGTCAGCGGCAGCGGCTCTCCCTGTTTTTTTCAGGTGAATTCCGCATGGGCAGCTTCGCCTCTGCAGCGCATGGAAATGTGCTCCACGTGTTCTCCGGTGTGACACTTATTGCCTGCGAGAGCCACTGATTTTTCCGGGAATGCCCTGCCGAACTCAAACGCCGACCTTGGGTGCTGCCTTGCTTGCCCGATTCGATGTGATATGTTTTGATCTACTTTCGCTACCTGCTTGCTTTCCTTAACTCTAACGCGGTGATTGGCACTGCCGAAACGTCCCGTATCACGGTTGCTGACAAACAGTAGCACAGCAGTACTTTGATTTCTCAAAGTATCCTGCCGCTAGAGGTCTCCATTTGGGTAGAAACTCGGAGCTAGTTTTAGCGCTGTTTTGGCCGGTTTGACCACATTTTGTGCTTGACACTGAGTGCAATGCCGGGACAGTCCACATTTTCAGAAGGAACCGGCAGTGGAATGGGAGTGTCAGGCAGTAGACTACATTGCATGCTAACGAGGCGCAATTGGAGTCTAGTTAGTTTTGTGTTAATGGCCAGCCGGGTACATGTTGAGTTTGTGAATATCTTGGACGCGTTCGTGGCAGCTCAACAAGTGGTTGTGAATGCAGCAAGAAGGGCTTGGTGCATGGGGTGTGCAGCTAGCGTGACACAAACCGTATCCCAAGCGATGCAACGGAGCCCTGCCCTCTCCGAACATACGGCTTAAGGTTCACAGCAATCCATTTTCTCCTTCGCTTCAGTTCACAACTGTGTTTGTAAGTTTATACTGTTTCTGCCTTTCATGTCATGTCCCACGATGCGGAAGGTCTCAGCACTTTGATGGTACCTGCCTGATATGACAAGACCGTGCGGCTTCACCAGTTCCTCAGATGTGCTAGGTGAATGGTTAAACTTCGAGCCTTTCAGATCGAGAGTCTATGTAATTAGAATTATCGAGAATGCCTGCGGCGAATCAGCGGCCGCTCCCCAAAACTGTTCGCGAATGCCAGGCAATGCCAGGGGCCGCTTATTTGTGCGTCAAAGGACAGCAATCGGGCCCCGGGAACGGAAGGGGTTCAACCTTCAGAAAAAATGGTTGCCCCGAACTCCTTTTAGCACAGCAACCATGCGCCGGACCACGAGGATACGCCCGCTGCTCACACCATGGGTGAATTCCGTTCCATTGAATCTTCTCCTTCTCATACTCCTGTTGACACTGATGTGGGGTGTTGAAAGTATTTGTAAATTAGTGTAAGTCAGATTACGGCTGCGGTGAACCACAGTCTGTTCCAAACCGCATAATCCAGGGAGTACTCATAGGAAGATTTCGTTCAGTTTTCTTCTGGGATCTGTGCTATAGTTCCTGTTCATGTTGGGCAACTCAACAGAAGGGTAAGCATGCCATCCGCCTTTGATCTACAAGTCAGAAAATGACCGACCTACGGAATCCTTGGTTTCAATATTCCTGGAATAGACCTAACATTCGTTTCGTGTTTTCGAATCCCAAAATAAAACGGCACACAGGGAACAGGGAGGTTAGAAGTTCATCAGGGAGGTTAGAAGTTCATGACATGAAGTTGGCTGCTTTCAAATCTTTGTTCTCAGCGCTGTTGCGGCACATGTTTGTTGTTTTTTGACTACCAACTTCAGAGTTCAATTCATGTGCTGGTCGAAGGCCAGCAGAGCACCTGAACTTGTTTGTATCATTTTGTATCATGAACACATAGCATCAATTCGGACGCGCCCCTTCTAGGACTTGTTTCTCTACGGCCGAGGTGAGGAGGACGTCTTTTTCTTCTCGACTCATCCTGAAAGCCGTGCCATCATCCTTGCTCACTACGGGCACTGGAGCGACGTAGTTGACCCAGCCTCAGCGAAACCCTACTACTGCCCTTCTCCCACAGATGCTATGATGCTCCCCAACACGAGCCACCAGGGAGACAAGCTTGTCGCTGCAGGGCGTGACTGCGTCAGAGTTGCACTCGTCGCAGTCAGATGGGGCATATGGAATTTATGTCAGAATCTCAGTGTTCGATTGGAAGGAATCAGACCGACATGCCAACGATCCTGAGGTGCCGGTGGGGCCTTTTGCCCATGGCGAAGCCAAGTCTGTGAGCATCTATTTCGCTGCTGCTTGGTTCAATCGCTTGCGAAGTGTTGTGATTGACCCCGGATTAGATCGCGAAGGCAGCAGCTGGTCAGCGCTTAACGGAGCTCCTCCATGAAACAGAGGCTGCACGTGACAAAGGCAGGCAGAACTGGCAGCTTGCCGTAGTGCTTTAAACAGTTCAGCTTCCAGACATTACTACAACGTCAACGACAACAACCACTACTGCAGCACCGCTTGCCGCGGGCTTGCAGGGATTCGCAGACAGAAGTGGCGCAAGGTGGCGCAAGCTTGATGTGACCACGGTCAGGTCCTGCAGACGCCTGCGCTGAGACTGGCTTTCCTGCCGGGAGGAGGTTAGGCACAGCCGCTGGCCCGCCTCAGGACCATTGTGCTTTTGCCAGGTCTCGGGCAGCCGTTCTACATGTCCAGCAGACGTGGTTGGACCAAGTTGACATACAACAACCAAAACCTGGACTGCAGCGTGAAGGCGTGGCCGCAAGCACTTCATGGGTAAATTATGAGAGGGTAGCTGATGAAGAGTGTGTTTGTGGTGCTCAGGTGAATGGCCACTTAACCGACATGGGTGGCCCAAGCCTGAGCCAAGTAAGTCTACTCGTACGTCATCCAGGCATATCAAGCGTACAGAACTCACTGTCGCACTGGCACAGGCAATGTTGCTCTGGACTTCAAGAACGCCAGCTACGCCCGAGCAAGTGGAGCGTTATCACTGTCTGGGACGCCGCAGGCACCGAAATTTCATGGCTATGACTGGCTATGACCCACGAATTCCGAGCGTGCACTAAGTCGGTGCGTCCCTGTGGTGCACGTTCATGAGATTCGCAGACGACATGCCGACAGGTGCAGCTCACCAGACTCTTGGAATCCATTCTGACCTGCAGACTTTTTGCGGCGCACAATGCTGAAATGCACCGAGGAACGTATAGCTTCCTTGGCAATGGCCGGGTCTTGAAAGCCCACTTCCAGGTCGTGGCCTTGCAGGGCGTGTCCAACGTGCAGGCCTGGGAACATGTGAGGCATCAGGGAATGGGCACAGGAGCGCGGGAGAAGTAGTCTCGCCAGCCAGATGCTGCGCAAGTCAGCCTGCAAAATACATGGCGAGAAGTGCCGTGATCGTTAGCAGGTTTGGATGGGAACTTCAGATGACTGGATCGGGACATCGGATCGGCCAACGAAGGTCCAAGGCATCTCAGTTGCCTAGTCCAGGGACGTTATCTGCCGCATCTCTTTGCAGTGCAAGGTGTCTTCCGCGGAGGCGAGTTCGTGCCAACTCCACACGGCCGCATCTTGCGGGTCCACTCAGGCACCAGAGACCGCCGGTTGCTAGGGGGTCCAAGCTTCCCCAACGCTTGTTTCAGCTTGGGGTCACTTTGGCTCACTTTGCGAAGGATCGGTTCGGAAGCGGCCGTAGGTGAGCTGCGAGGGCAGATGCTGAGCTACTCAGACGTGCTTTGCGAGGCGAGGAGGATGTCTTCGTGTATTCGACTCATCCCGACAGCCATGCCATCATACTGTCCCACTATGGCCAGTGGGATGACGTGCTGGTGAGATCCTCAGCCATAGGATCCCGGGACGCGTCCCGTCCCAGCTTCGGCCCCCTAGGCTGCTACGCAATCAGACCTCCACTCCTCGACTTCGGATGGGGCCTATGGCATCTACGCCTGGATCTCGGGGTCCCCAGCCGTCTTGTCTTTGGAGCCAATGCTTTCTACATCTTGTAGCCACACTCTCTTGAGGTGCCTCTGGGGAGAATGGCTGCCGGGGAGAGCAAATCTGCGAGTGTCTACTATGCCGTCGCATGATTCGATTACCTGACTTTGCTATGTGCTGTCACCGTGACAGGAACGCATGAACACTGGGGGGCTTGCTGGCTGAGGCGGCAGATGCGGATCGTTTAGCAGAGCTTCTCAGGGATGCCAGTGTAGCTGCACATGAAGGCTGGCATGGAAAACTGCAGCTCAGCTGCTGCAACTGCTCAGCTGCCTGCCTGCCTAGATGATACCACCACGACCACGAGTACAACACCTCCTCCGGTGGCGCATGCAAAAGGCTCAGGTCTGTGCAGAAATGACGGCAAGCAAAACAAAAGTGTGTTGCCAAGATCTTGAAATCGTCGACGTTGCAGTTTGCGCTGCTCGAAGAAGGAGGTGCTGACTTTTAAGGGGGAAGATCCCTTGCATCCAAATCGTGGCTTCGACTTGGTCAGGCCTGGGCGGACCTCTTTACCGTTCCGAGCTCATGGGCTGGACGAAGTTGACCTACAACCATCAGAACTTGGACTGCACTGTCAAGGCTCGTAGCTGGCTTGATACTTTGCTAAGGGACACTCCGACAGAGCGACACTGGTCAGGTGAACGGTCGAGTGGTCGACTACAGCAGCCTGCAGCTCAGAGTGAACTCGCAGAGTCTCGCGAAAAGTGCCATGTCCAAGCTCGGCCTTGCCAAATACGGCCCAAGCCGCCGCTCGTCTCCGGAGAGCTCTCGCAGAACTGCCCTTTAGCCTTTCTGATTCTCACTCCACTGCCAACTACCTTCGTGTGGACCTGTTGCGCCACACTCTCGTGCCTGATGCTCGCCTTCTGGGCGTTGGCGCTTTCTGTTCCGTTTCCTGCGTGCGCAGTTCGTCGAACTGCGGCTCTTGAATGATCCTTGCGAGCCTGTGCCAGCGGTCTCAGCAATCCTCTCTGTGAGATGGTGTCAGCATAGAGTTGCAGATGTCAAGTAAACACGAAATTCCAAATCCACTTCGCCCGTGCTTGCTGCCCGCAGCTTCAGGTGATCCACGCGAAGTGTTCTTCAGCAACTCGAGCTACGCTACGTCTATTTCGCGGTTGAAATTGGATGGAAGTGAAGTAGTGCCTCGGTAGATCTCGGCCTTGGCAGCCTTGGCCTTGGCCCTCGAGAGCACAGCGTGCCGTGGCACCCGAGGCAGTTCTGACGCGACACTTGGCACTAAACGAGTCGGCCTCGACAACCCAGTGCGAGAATGCAAAGCTGGGTTCTGCTTTGAGGTTGTATGTTTAAGCACAGCTGTCTACTAAGGGGTTTACAGCTTCCTGGAAGATGGCCTTGTCTTCCGAGCTCAATTCACGGCTGTCGCACTGGCTGAGATATCAAGTCTGGAGGTGGGACGCGGGCTGCAGCTCTATGGTCTGGTGACTCTAGAGAGCCGAGATCGGGTTGCAGGTGTGGATGGGAACGTCTAATGACTGGCTTGGGAGCACTGACCGACCCACCAAAGAACAAGGCAGAAAGCTCTTTGCAGAATGTAGGAATCTGATGGAAGTGGATGTCTGTGGTGTCTTTGCTCTGCAGGTGCCTTCCACGGCGATGTCTTTACTCCCGTCCCACAGGCATGCATTCTACGTGTGCGCTCCAGTCCGAAGCTAAATTGCTCTGACCGGTTACAAGATGTTACAGGAGAGGAACTTGAAACCATCTCCTCTCAGGAGAAGAGACGTTGTTCTTCTTTTCCAACCACCCTGACAGCCATGCTCTCATTGTCGAGCAGCCCGCGCGCTGGCAGGACGTGTATGCGTGGGCCCGATTTCATAATCAGTCGCCTGCCTGCATTTCCAGGTCTACTTGCGATGTGCAATGTCAAGCAAGGCCCTTACGTCGTCTTCAACAGAAGCATCTGTGGCCGATGGCGCTTATGGGATCTACGTCAGCTGGGCAGCAACCGTAGACCGCCACGTCAGCGTAGATGTCAGGGAGTGCCGCTCTCGAGGTGCCCTTTGGAAAATTCGGGTTGGGCGAGACCAAATCCGCGAGCTTCTTCTACGGAGCAGCTTGGATCAGCTTGGGCTCGCAGTCCGCACTGTAAGCCACTGGTTTTGGGAAAACATGAATTCGAGATGGCTGGAGGGCTCGGCTTTTCATGGGTATCTGTGCCACCGAATGGCTACATGTCTGGCCTTCTGCCCCCGTGACTTGCAGGAACGAGTTTGGCCTTCTTTGCCCTACCCGAGGCGACGGAGGCAGATCGCCTGGTCGACCTCATGCCCGCAACCGCAAGAGTTTTCCGAACTTATCCCATGATGCCGAGCAGAAGCAACCTCTTGGCAACTCAGCTGCATGCAACTCCGCTGGACTGTAGCTAGGAGCCTGGACCGGCAAAGAGACCTCTTGCAGAAGCGATGCTTACGGAGGTGCAAGACTACGAGCAGTGCACAGAAGGATCAGCCAACTCATCCGTGGAGCCTAAGACTGATCTATTGGGACGGGCCTGCCGGGGGTTTACGCGATAAAGCTGAATCAGGGGAGCAAAGGCACCTTAGACATGGAATGTAGCAGCGTACTCCCAGTTGCCAAAGTCTTCGCATTTTGTTCGTGGCAGCAGCAGAGCTCGGGGGAAGATTTTTTGTGAGGTCGTTGTGTTTCGGTGTGCCCATGAGGGAAAGGCTTTCAAGATGATGATCTGTGGTGTTCGTTTGCTACTCTGAGGTGTGAAAGGCGATGCGTTTCGTAGCCTCGGTTTGCAGAACTCCTGAACTCAGCTTGAGACTTGAAACCTATTTTTGTCGTGATGCTTCGCCAATGCTTCGCTGACTCTGTGACTCGGCTACCTTTGACGAGCAGCGGGCTGGGAAGAAACGGCCTCCAGCTAAAGACCCGGCCTCTTCCACGTACAGTGTCATGCGGGTATGTCGCCAACAATGTGGCATGACCGGAGTTGCAGAACCAACACATGGCAGTGGCAAGCACTGCACGCTTTTGGGTTTTGGACGCGGAAGGGACATAGACCGAATTTGCTAAGCGAAGGCTTGGTGTCACGTTGTGTCTGGAGCCTCCTGCAGTTTCTAAGGATTGCACAAAAGCAGATTTTTGCTGGAATCACATGGCGGTCGTGCACAGTAACTGCCGAGTTCGTTGGCTGAAATGTTGGAATTGGGAACCTAGCAGCCCAGAGCTGAAATGACTTGAGCGCGGCCCAGGTGCTTTATGTATCGACGATGAGCATCAGCGAGCTGAAGAAGTACATTTGTGGGAAGTCAACGTGTGCTGCAGCTGCCAGGCAGGTCACAAGATGCCTGAATTGCATTGCTTCCGACGTGTGCGTCGCCAGGATTGCTCAGAGAAAATGCGGCCGAACCTATGCGATAGATACGAGTTGCTTGTTTTGAATCGCTGCGTGTCGAGGTTCGTTGCCTTGCGTGATTACTTACCATCGCAGACTTCTGCTTCAACCTTGCATAAGGTTGGCTGGCACCGGTGTTTTTCTACTACGACAGTTTCCTGCCGGCAAGATCTGACTTCGCTACCGGTAGTTTGCTACTCGATGCTGGGTTTGTTGAGGATATTGCAGTGACGAATTTCACGTAACAGACCTCGTGAACGACCAGAGCAGCTGCGAACTGTCGCTGCTGGACCTGTGGTTTGGTGGAGGGCTGCGCGGAGGCTGTTCCCAACAGTGTGAAACGGTTGCGGATTGTCGCTGGAGGACCGGCTGCATGGCTTTTGTGAACGAGCAGCCAGCTCAGAAGTTTTTGGGACTCGTCAAGTGCAGAGGTGTCTGAATCGGTGCCCGAAGCAGGTGATGAACTGCTACACAGAAGCCGGTGCTTTTGTTCCTCGGCTTCGTGATGTAAGCAGAACAGGGTAACCCTCGTACACGTCAGACACGGATAGCGCTGAGGCGCGAAACTGCAGATTGGATCAAGCAACGATGCAGGAGGTCCAAACAGTTGCCGGAATCTTGGATGCTGTTGTGAAGTGCTCGGGGTGATAAGTCTTGTGCACCAGCTATGTGCTCTCAGCCCGGAGAGACCGAACCTAGCTCCGACTGCTGGCAAGGTTGAAAGCAAGGGTTGCGCAGATGCGGCAGAGCACGTCGCGAACTGAATATGGGCCGCTGGTCCTGGGCGTCGAGAGAACCATGCGATTGCCTTGTCGAGGTGCTCGATTTATGCGGAGATTATGATAGTGTACGACGTACCACCACTGCGATGAAGCAGTACCGGAGCCTCGCAATTTTTTAGGCTCAGGATGCTGAGACAAGGAAGTTGAGCACAGAGTGCTGGTAGCAGTGAAGCTCAAGGAGATTCTTCCAGCAGTCCGGAGTGGCAGCGCTGCCCTCTCCGCCAGGTGCAAATTCCAGTTAGGCCATGGTTTATTGCCAATGAAGGCATCTCGAGACAGTTCTTGGTATACTAGGACACTCCTCGGACTGAGAGCAACTAGTGTTTGTAGCACATCACCATGTTATGTTTGCCGGTTTTCTGCAGGTGGTAGTCTTTGCAGGTGATTCTAGTGTTGCTGCAAGTGCGAGCGGCATCATTAATTGCATTCGAGGGATAAAGTATGATGCGCGAAGTTTTGCATTTCGATGAATTAAAGAGGTCTGACTCCGTGGCCGACAAACACGTCGCACTTCCTGACACCGGCCTACGAGCGCTGCACCATGACTACAGACATCACGGAGAGGAACAGTGAGGCACGAGTGCTGCACCGGTGCCTCATGACTGCGAAATCTCTTTGCTGTTGAAATTGAAAATCGTTGGCGGGAGTACACTGAGTACACGTTGTTGATGCCAATTGCCTATCTAGATCGGCTTGCGCTTCGGGAAATGAGATCGAAATTATGAAGCGGGTCGCAACTGCCGGAACAATTCTCGTCAAACCCCTGCTGTCTGCGGCCGGTGCAAAAATCTGGGAAGCTGCCGCCGCTGGAAGGAGAATACTTAGGTCCACAACCTAGAAAAGGTTCAGTTGGGGCTACAGGCAATAGTTCGACACTAAAAGGGCTCGTTCTCGGCTGCGCTTCCGCGCCAGGAATGTAGCAAGGCCGTGCATTGCCACAGCCTCCTCTCAGCAGCGACGACAGCTTGTGACGTGACGCTTGGCCGGATAATGAGAAGAGGTTTCATGCTCGAATTGACTAGTCCAATTTCTGGTAGCCGAATGTGCGTAGTCCCCATCAAATCTATCCAGCAAAAGGATGACTCATTGTTTGCTGAATGATCAGCAATTAGCATGGCATCGACCCTGAGCGACGCAGCCGTGGTCCAAGGATTTGGCTGCCGTCGATCGGTGTCTCATCGCTGGCTGACCATGCGTCTTGACATATTTTTCCGAGCGACGTTCTTGGGGTAGTGGCGACTGCTTCAGGTCTGTGGCAGATCCCTCTGCGGCTCTTTTGCGGTGCGTGTCGAGGTGCAGCGCCACTGAGAGTGATGGGAGCCGTGATAACCTTTGAGCGCTTTCATGAAGGCCGAGTGTGGCCACTTCCACCGGGCCAGAAGTGTCTTCGGCCCGGTGATGTCCTACAGGCGCAAGTACTGCCCAGACTTGGGTCACACAGACGCCCGTCCGTCTTTCTTCGGTTTGCAGTGCGCTAACAGAGGCAACCTCAGAACCTGCATGATCTCAGGACATGATCAACGACCTCTTCGTGTGCAGACTGACGCCGAAGAACAGCAGCACCCGACCTCACTGTGCTCCTCAACGGCACAGTGGATTGAGTGCCGTCAGCACAGATCTCAAGGTTTGTCGGTTTGATTACGAGCACCAGAGGTAGTGCTACATTTACTCAATACAGCACCAGGGAAGTGGAGCCTGAAGTGGACTCCATGTTTTCACTGCGGCAAAAAAGTCCCGAATCCTTCCTTTGACCAGCGGAAGTGTAGGCCAAACGGGTTTAAGTCTCACCACCACCACCACCACCACCACCACCACCTCCACCTCCACCTCCACCTCCACCTCCACTTCCACCTCCACCACCACTACCGGCTCTATTCTTAGCGCTTTACTCATTCTGGCAACCAGCTGCATATCCTCCAAGTTGTGTTCTCGCGAGGATGCCGCCGCACACTGCCAGGAGCAGATCTCAAGGGTAGATCGGCAACGCGGCTCTTTAATTTTGGGGTTCAATGAACTGTGCCGCATGGTGATCGTACGAGTCATGGCATGAAAAACGATATATGATGTATTGCATTGGTTCATTGCCGGCACCCGTGAGGGTTTGCATGAACACTGCAGTGTGCAAGCAGAATTTAGCCATGGAAGGGCCATGCCCTTTTCGGTGAGGGATGGTCTCCGTTCTAATCAAGCATGCTGCTCTTGACAACAAGGATTGTGCAATCATACTTCCTGAGCTGAGCGATCATCAAGATCAAAATCGCTCATGCTGCACGTGGTGAGAACACACATCCACAACGTATCAGGAAGAAGACTGTGGTCAAGACGGAATCGAGCGGCTAACCGGATTCCGAGGCTTAAACTTCGGCTTTGAGCAATTGAGAAACTGCGTCCAGTTTTGCTGTTTTGCAGTGCTTTACAAATCAAGCTTGTTCTTGTTTTCCTTAATTCTTGCTTTCTCTGCAACGATCGCATTTGAGTGCAACCGATTAGTTGCGAAACTACCGGTTCCAGCTTTGGCAGCCTTTTCAGCAAGAAGCCGTAAAAACCAATTCCAAGACGGTGCCAGCATTCTGTCAGGCAATGTCTGGTCCTCACTTCCAACTTGGAAGAATCTGCAGATAATGTTTGCAGCGCGCAATGCAGGCCCGTGGCGCATTCGTAGTACCCTGAGAAGCTGCGTTCCAGATAGGAGTTTCATCAACGCGACACTGGAGACATGCGCTGAATACGGTGTCATCACGGACAGCCTGAAGGCGGGCTCTTGCGTAGCTGCGCTTCCTTCTGGCGTGAAAGCTGACTCATGCAGGTGTTCCAAGCTTATCAACATGCTCTTGCATGTGGTGTCTCGAAAAGCATCAAGTTGTGTTGTCGTGTCGCAGCGTTCGCGTTGCATGTGCATGAGTATGGTTATGCAAGGCCTTGTTAGCTAGGATCGGATGGTAGAGCTCAGATGCAGACATCAGGTTTGGATTTGGGGTCCAGGTGTGTCTTATATATGTTGAACGCAGCTTTCTATACTGCAGTGGCAATCGGAAGTCAGTAGACCATGGATTGTGTGTCTGTTTCGACTAAGCTGTGTTGCAGCCCGAGTACTACTGCCGGAAGCAGCCTGCCTTTGACAAGGCTCAGATGCTGAAGCAGAGTTCTTCTCCAGATCCTACAGCTCCATCATGGTCTTCGTCTCTGCTACGCAGAGTGTAGCAGGCCAGTCCATTGAGACCTCAGTTCTTGTGACTTCAGGGATTTGTCTTGTGTCCTGGCATCAGTTCAGGAGATAGTTTCAGCAGGCCTACACATGCCGCATCATGCCGCGATGTGTTGGCAATGTGCCTCGCACAGTTCTGCTGCTACTGTAGACGGATCTATCGAAAGAACTCAGAACACTGTTGCAACACTGCTTTTACTTGTTCAATTGGAGGTCTGAGGGGTTCCATTGGCATCAAATGGACTTGGGTGCATGTCATGTAGCACGTGCTGTTCTTGAAGTTAAAGAGTCAAAGCCGCTTCGGCTGCCCGCAGCTCCGGTGCTGAACTATCTGGCCCCCCCAAAATATCGTATTCGAGTGGACGCAGTCTACGACCACTTCCAGCTTTGCATTTCGGTTCCAGAGCAACCATCGAGAGAGGGCAGACCTTCGGCTGTGATCTTGAAATCGTTTGAAACCTGTGCCAGATGGCACCAGCTCAAGATTGGAGACGAGCACCACTGTGTTGGATGGCCTGCTTTCACGTTACAGAAACATCAGACTCTAAGACTCTGACGCAATCTACATTTTGACCAACTGCCTTGTACCCTGTTGTATATACCCAACTACTTTTACAACACCTGCACTGATCAATCCTCTTCAGGCATTGTGTGCGTCGGGCTGCAGTTTTCATCTTCATTGTGATGACTCTGATCCAGTTGAAAGCCATTGCCTGTACGACTCGCATTGCATCTTTGGGCACTCTTTCAAGGTGGCTTCCCATTCCTTTTGCTTGGATCGCGATTCGATCCTTTTTGGGTACCCCCTGGTCAAGGTCTGGTCTTCTAGCGCGCATTCTCTCATCTCTGCCTTTCTGCCTGCTGGGCATCTTATGTTTCTTGCAGGCGCCGTTTCTTAGCTGCGAGCCGTCCCTTCCCCAGAACTCTGCTCATCCCACCCCCACGGATTCAGAAAGAAACGGTTTTCGGATTTTGCAGCTCTTAGCCTCGAGTCGAGACGAGTGCCCACAGCAAGAATCCAAGGACCCAACTTTTCGAGCTCTTGCATATGCTTTCTTGAAAGGCAGTTCAATAAGCCTGCAACATTCAACATCAGGACGCCCATGTCTGGCGGTCCTCGTATCAAATATAATTGCATGTTTCTATGTATGTGCCTTTCGGGGAGTTCAACACAATCAGGAAGGATCAAGCAATCAGTGCAGCCGCAACCAATGTCTTGAACTTCTTTTAATGCTGCATGGTCGTGTCCACATGAAATACCTCCAGTCACACAGCATCCAAGCACTCAGGCGCTCTGACTTCCGAAATGAGCGGTCCTGCGCAATGCAAAGGCAACGTTTCCACCTTCGTCATGATTCGCAGTTCCTGACTGCAATAGCGACATTGGTCACACAGAAGCACTCCCCAACAGAGGACAATGCTGGATCCCCGACTTCTAGAAACACCGCGGAAATTAAAACCAAAGCCTCTCCTACAAGAACATCCAATCAAAACTCTTTAACACGTACCTTCTAAAGCCGTATAAACCTCAACTCGGCCCTTGGCAACATCCTGCACCTTGAGTCCCAAGATCCGAATGCTCGCCTTAGTTTCGGCCAGCGAGCCGGCACGTAAAGCACTAAGCACTGCCATGCACAGCCCATACAACTGACAAACCACGAGCCGATGACTAGGCCTGAAGAATTGTATCATCGCCTGCGGAGTTTGATTACGGTTCGACTTTCGCCTGACTCTGTCTTGACTTAAGACTTTGCTGCTGAGTCAAGCGCCACAAAAAAACTCCTCAAACCCAGATTTGGGGTCAAAGCGAGAAGGGAGACCAGGAAGAAGGGATGAGAATTACCTGCTTGAAGTTCGTCCTGCTTGCCCAACATTGTCGGAAGCCTGTGAAGGCTTCATGTGCCGCTCTTCAGAACGGACAATTCTTAATGTTACTCCCAGAGTGTGCCGGTTGTCTTGAAGAATTGGTTGCTGCGAGACCTGCAGGCACAGGAGCCTTCCACATTTGACAGACCATAGTAGTCCGATCTCTATGCCAACCAAATGCTGGCAACAACGTCCTTTGTACTCCAATCCTGAGGCCGAAACCTGAAAATCCATCCGTTCATGCATCCATGCATGCATCCAGGCATTTATCCACGCATCCCCCTAGCTAGAATACGACGAAGCACAAGTCGTGGCACCATCTGGCACCTGTGCTTCTCCACCTGCCGCTTCGTTTCCAGTGATTGCCCTGCATCTTGTTCTGCAAGAATGGAATGTGCTCGTTTTGCTACACATCCCGCCTTGTGGATATTGGTTTATGTGCTGCTTTCTGCTTGCTCTGCAGCATCCGTGCTGCGAAATTGACTGACCGAAGTTGTTGCTGACGATGCCGCTTTCTCGAGGATTGCCGGTGTTCGAAGCACGGACATGGACTTGATGGACACGTTGGCACATCCCCAATGCAGACCTTCAAACAGCTTCGAACACAACTTTTCGACCCACAGTGCATGGCGAAAGCAACATGCTCCTGCCAGGTGCCATCGTCATCGGCACAACGTTGGCATGCGTCAGTATCGCCGGGGATCTTGGTATTTGCAAGATCTTGTACGTGAGTAGTCCTCTCCGCTGGGAGGCTTTCCTGGCAATTCGCAGTCTTAGCCTGGGGGGCTTACCGCAACGTCTGCAAGCTCAGCCCTGCTCACTGCATCCGTTTACTTATCCACCTGTCCTGTACGCAGCATGGAGTGGCTTGCCAAGGCATGTGCTACGTGAGGGTCACTTCTGAAGAGCATGTGCCACTGACCAGTTACTTAGACGGGTTTGACAGCGACGCATAATGTCTTGAATCGCCGACGGCGCTTGCAAAGCCGAGTGCTTAAGCCCGGCAGGCGGGTTGTGGAGAACACTGACGGCTGCTTGCGCAGTGGATAAGATGCTTTCTAGACGGTGAGTGCTTTACTGTGGGTCAGTGCTGTTGTCAAGCCGAACTGTGAACAGCATGGGCCCAAAGCTGACCCAACTCTGGTGGACGGCAAAGCCGCAAGAGACCACCGATAGGGCCGAACTAGCATCGAAAGTTGAGCGAGGAGGGCCATCGTGATAACGTCTACGTAGCTGTGTTTGCTGCCTTCAGAGCCGCCGGAGAGGTACAAGCCCGCAAATTTGCGTGCCACAACATTCGAGAAGACAACGGACGCCTACATGCGGGACGCTCGTTGAAAGAGACGGCGGGAGAGAGAGAGAGAGAGAGAGAGAAATGGAACAGCCCCGTGAACGGCACTTCTGGAGCCCTTACTTTTGCATGCATCTTCCCACTCTTCGTTTGCTTGTGTTGCTGATCCTTATCTTCCGTGGAAGTCCAAGCCTTGATGGGAGAACTGCTCGTCGGTGGAAGGGGTCGGGCCCTCCACCATAGCCCTGACGAAAGAAACACGACAGAATAGTGGCAGTACTTATATGATGTATAA